CCTGCCCTGCTCTGCTGGGATCCGAACTCTCACGCCATTGGGTGCTGGGTGTGGCCCGGTGTTGCCCCATTGTACCAAGTGAGTCTTTTAGCCAGTGAGCGCTGAGGCTCAGGAGGCTCTCTGGAGTGCTTTGGCCGAACTTCAACCCACCTGCAGCAGGTGGGAGAGTCGCGGGTACACCCCATCCCCACCCCCCAGTAAGAGAACCCAGTTCAGTGCCTCAGGAAGGAGCTACATGTCCATGCGGCGTTTTATCCGAAGCTCCTCCAGCAGCTGGTCTGGCAAGAAGAGATTTGAGATCTGGGCACATTGCTGACTCCCCGGGGATCGATTTTTCATTCTGTGGTTACTGAGATACACACAACTCTCAGGTCCCAGACCTAGATTTCAACTTTCAACACTCTGTCTGAGATTCTCTGAACCTATGACTCTTGGATCCTTCACCTGAGAGGCACCGTTCCCTAGTGATTTGGTAGTGAAAGACCCCAAATCCTAAAGTCAATGCTGTCTTCGGGATTCTGTTATATGTGTGTTGTTTGCATTTGTGAAATTCCTGGGTGTATTTGCTATTCTGGCTCCTGGTGCTAAGTTATTAAAGAGTGTTTCGATTACACTGGATGTTTTCCATGTGATCATTTGGAGGCACAGTACACCACAGCAAAAGATGTTGAGCCAGAGAATCAGACCTCAGCTTCAATTCTGCCCCTGCCATTTAATTATAGTGTAATTGTCTGAGGCTGAGTTTCCTCACCTATGCAATAGCACATTATACTTCTCTTGCAAAGGAGTAATGTTCACTGCTTGTGTTTATAAACCTTCCAGCTGAGGTCCTAGTCTGGCCTTAATAAACAGCCTCCTTTCAATAATCACATGCATAAACACGCAATTCTATTTGTTGGTCTTTCTCTGGCTCCAGTGGGTCTGAACATTGATTAAAGCAAAGAATAGAACTTTCTTTGCTTTTCTAGTAGATGGCCCTCCCACCTTTTAGAAGCCCTCCAGCAGATGGCCTTTGGTCTCTGTCACAGCAAACCCACTGCCTCCTGAGCTACACATGCACCACACTATGAATTCCGTTAACAGGGGCCCCTTACTCTATCTCAGGCTGTCACCTTTTTTCATTTTCAGTGGCAGCCCATTTGCTTGCAGATGTTCTTAATAAATCTCTGCTATTAACTCTACTCAGTTCTTTGTGGCACCTTTCAACATTTAATAGAGTTATTTTTTATTTTATTATTTTTATTATTTATTATCTATTTTTTATTTTTATTATATTATTTTTATTTTATTTATTTATTTTATTTATTTATTTTTT